CAGGAATTTACCTCTATTTGTTCTTGAACGAGTGTTCTTCAATAGTATCAATGAAGATATTACGTATAAGGTTCCTGTATTAGCTAAGTATGTTGTTAGCCCTAGAAAAAAGATCAGATTTTAATCTGAGAACTGAATTTCAGGAAGAATGAGCTCAGTCACTGGTGTAGGCCAGGAGTAACTAATTAAATGTTAATGAAGTTTTACTCATTTCTATATGTAGTACAGTACTGTAGGGTGCAGAGTAGATCCCTTATCTGCAAGGCAGTGTGCACAGGCAAACAAGAATATCCTGTATCTTAAGGAGTTCACAGTACAGTTTCTTTTTGGATCTAGTATTTCTCAATGAAAAGCAGGAAAGTAGCCTATTTACCCCTTTCAAAGAAATCCTCTCCTTTTACAGGCAAAATCTCAGCTCTTCATATATTCTTTTTGATCACATTCTCCCTCAGAATGTGGAGTTCACCAAGGTTTTTGCTTGTGGGTTGATGGTCTGCCTTACTGAAGTGTCAAAGTACTTCACAGTTTTTCTTCTATTTATCCTCACAACCACCTTTCTGAAGTAAAGAGAAGCTATTAGATTCATCTCACAAGGAGACAGAACTGCAGGGAATTGTCATGTTTTTAATGCTTTGTGTGTCAGTCTAGACATTTATGTCCAGTGGAATACTGAAAGGACATCACTAACTGGAAAATCTTTGTCCTTTTGCTTATGATACCTCTTAAAAGCATGGTTCTAAGATTACCTTGACATAGGAGTTCTGTGGTTTGGAGAATTGAGCTGTGCTTTTTGAGACCAAGGTGAATATTCAAATGATTGAAGCATGCTTTTTCTTAGCATAGAGAACTCGCTTTTTAATAATACGAGTTGCTTAGTAAGCTCTTTCTGAAAGGAAGGATTTTTCATTGCACTGATAATAGGTATTTCTATTTCTCCCATTTGAAGGCTGGAGAATTATAAAGGGGTTTCTTCTTGGTAAACAAAGGCCCCCAAAAAATCCAAGCCCTGAGAATGCTAGCATTATGGGTTTTTCTAAGATGAAAGGGAATTTGATCGTGTGTTCTTTGTTCTCCTAGCTAAAAAATCTTCTCTGTGCAAAAGGTTTATCCCCTTCAACATGTCGTGAACTAGGGGAGTCACAAGATCGCAAGTATTTTGTTAAGGCTGAGTGAACAATGCTGGGGCTGCCAAGGGAGGCGAGGAGCACTGAGTAAAGATAGTGTAATTGTCAAGAGAGGAGTGGTAAACAGGCAGAAAAGGAGGAATCTAGAGGCATATCTGCTGCTTAGCTCTGGGAAAAGGTGCTTGTATGCTTTCCTTGACTAGGCAGCTGATGAGAGAGGAGTGATCATCTCTGCTGGCCTCTTGGAATGAGTTTTGAAATTGGAGGTAAAAAAGTAGATAGAGACTGTCCACCTTCATGACCCTAACAGTCTGTAAATACATTTTCTGAGTTGCTCCTGTATTTCTGCCAGTCTGGGAAGGCTTTAGGGGCAATGTGTCCTGTATCACTGCAAACTGAGAATAACAAATTGTATTTTATGAACTTTGCACAGGAAGACCTCTATAATGCACTCAGAATCAGACTGCAGCGACCTTTGGGTTGGAGTGTGAAGAGAGCTGTGGCCTTGTAAATTACTCATAAGTGCTGGGGAAAAATGTGCTTTAATAGAAGAGATGAATTCCTTGTTCTCACAAAGCAATGACATCATAGTGTGCAAAAGTTCATGGTTTCATTTAATAATAAGGAAAATACGCAGCTTGAAAAACAGCCAGGTGACCTTGCTGTCTTTATTTCTCTCCTTAACTAAAGATTCCTCAGGGGGCACCATTCAAATATATAAAACTTAGAAATATTTTGATAAAAAAGCACCAAACTCTCACACTTTCTTCTTAGCTCAGTAGAATTATCTGACTCTCTTGGTTCTGGAACCAGATAGCTGCTGTCTGAATTCAGAGACACAGCTTGGTTTTTGGAGTATGTGTTGAGAGCTTTGCTTCCTAGGTTTATCAATACTTTCCACTATGTGGTTTTTCTGTAGCTGGCCTTAAATTTTCCTGAGTTAGGCTACTTTTCTCTTTGCAGGCATCTGCCTCGGATATCTGTATTTAGGAAAAATAAGCCAAATGGTCTCAACTGTTTAAAAAAAAAAATAAAATCTTTTGCGAACAAAGAAATTTTCTGGTTTGGAGCTGAGAATTCAAATTTAGTGGAAGGGTAGCTTTAACTCAAAGTTACGTCGCTAGGAAAGATTAAATTTGGAAATGCTTAAATTGGACTCCTTAGCGTCTTGGTTTCACAGACTTTGTAGTAGCAGTGAGTTTTTTGCAGCTCACTAAGAGTCAGGGGGGTTTTTAAGTGTAAAGATACCCATAGATCCTCTAACCTAGGTATAAAATCTAGACCAGCTTCAAAAAAAGGGTCCCTTCCTCTAAAACTGATTTGCATTTTTTATTATATTTTATTCTTTTTAGGTTTGTCTTTTTTTAATCACAGATGAAATAGCTTACTGAAAAGACCTGGTTTCAGCTAAGATTTTGACTTAAATATTATTGCACAGATTTTTTGAAATGTCAAACTATCAAATTCATTTTGATATTTTGAAAGCATTTTTGAAAGTCCCATCTCCACGAACAGCTCATACTGTTCGTGAAGATGGGACTGGCATGGGAAGCATAGCAGCAGAAAATTAGGAGTGGAAACCAAGCGGGAGGAAAGAGGGAAGGAAATGAATGAATATAAGGTAAGAAAGAAATGAAGTTTGAAATGTGGTCAGGAAGGTCTTTCCTTCTAGAGCTTTGCTTTCTCTGCCATCAGCAGGTATCAGTGAAAAGCACTGATGGGTTTTTTTCTTCTTAGTGACTCAGTGCAGACTGCTTTTGCTTTGGTTATTCTGATCATTTGGACAAGCTTGAGTTGTCTGCACTGAATCTAAAGATTCCAGCCCTTCTTCCTTGAGCAGGTGTCTATATAAGTTACCTGGTGGAATTTTAATGAACTATTATTTACTTTAGCCCATGAAGTTGTGTCCTGAAAAACAGCATTCAAGTACGACTAAGCTTGAAAGCCAAACGTGCAAAAGATCGGAGATGACAGAACTTAAGATTTTCTGGGCAACTGGTGAAATGCCTGACTGAAAATATGCTTTGTTTGCTCTTGTCATCTTTTAATCTTTCTGAAAAACACAGGTGATGCTTCTTTCATAAAAAGGAGTATTGTGAGCCTCTCCCCATGCAGTGCTTGAGATTACTGGCTGGAAGGTGCAGTGGAGACAACAGTGACCAAACATGTTTGGAGAGGGGTGAAAGTTTGAGGTTTCTGATCTATTTTCTTGAATATGGGAAAATTTTCTGCCATTTCTTTTAGGAGACTCTCTGATTTCCTGCTTAAGTCCTGCTTATACCACAGTGCTGCTACCTTAAACTGCTCTTCATCTTTATGCTTATTCCTTTTTAGTAAAAGTTAATAACTGCAGCTTTCCAGAGACTCAGGAGTGGAAAGTGGAATGGCTCTGGTTTATCTCATCATCTATAAATTGTACAGGAAGATTCCAGGAACTGTATTTTTTCTAGTGCAATGGGCATATCTACATATTACTATTTGGAACTAAAGGAATAATCCTGTTAGTTTAACTAAAACTGCTTTTGTTTTACAGACAATGAGACTAGAGGGAGTTCGATATGTTAAAAAACAGAGGCACTGGATGAATTCAGCCAATGCTGTAATGAAAACAGGTACAGCAAGAACATTTATTTTCATCTTCTTTTATTGTATTTGTATACCCTCTGCTCCATTTTACAAGTGGTGATGCAGAAATGGTATTTTTCAAAATGCTATAGTTCTTTTTGTGGGTTTTTAGCTTTCTGAAAAGCACTAGCAAACTGTCTCTGATTTACTTAGATGTTGTGCTGATGCTGTCCTTGCAGTGGGAAGTGTCTGCAGAGACTAGAACAAAGAGCTTTCACAGAGAAGTGTTGTCTTTATTGACTTGCACATGAATCCTCCATCATGGTTGTGTACCAGAGAAGATTACAGTCTTCTTAGGCTTCTTTGTCCTTTCACTGATGCTGTCCGAGATGCACCAGGGCTTTCTGAGGAGGCAGCCATTGTAACTTATCATTCAAGATAACTTCTTTAGGGATGAACTACTAGAAAGGCTGCTGGGTAAGAACAGTGAAGTACCTGGTGAGGAGTTTAGTCACACTCCATTTCTTGGGGATGATATTTAGGAGTGCTGAGTCAAGTCTGATATAGAACTGAAGAGAGTTATCTTGCAAAAAAATGAAGTTTCATGTGCTGATTTGATTTTTATTCTGAAATCATGTCTAAAGTTCAAACTGCCATGTCACAGAGCATGCATTACAGTGTTTCAAATGTATGCCAGCACAGATGAATTGTACTTTAGACTTAAGAGGAATTTATGAATGATGGCAAAGACTTCAGATGGCATGTAGCATGCTTTTTATTTTCTGCAGGGGTGAAACACCCACAGAATGTGAGAATAGCCATAGATCAGCAATTCTGTCACAGGGGTGGGGGGTGAAAAAGTGGGCCTGTTTGCTTAGCAGTTGCTCTTAGACAGGAAAGTAAATGTGTCAGAGTTCCCTGCTTTGGTTATTTTCTCTTGTACTCTTAAAAAAGAGCCACCCCGTGCATTGTAAAAGTGCAAATGCATCTTTCTCAACGCTGTTATCAGCATAACAGGTTGATTTGTGCTGCTTGTCTTCATGAAAATACTTAAGTGTAAGAAGACTTTTTGAAACTCCTAACCACCTTCAGCACTTTTTTCTGCTGTTGCAAATGAAATAGCTTGTGGGAGAAAAATGCCATGAGAAGACTAAAAAGCATCCTGCAATCACAATGCCGTCTGTAGTGAGAAGATCTCAAAATATCTGAGGCAGGAGCTAAATACTGAAATGAGACCTCGGTTCAGGTCTGTGAATGTGGCATCACTTTCTGAAGGCCACGAGCCTCTTTTTTCCTTGTGCTTCAGATTGCCCGTCTTCCACTGCATTACAGAGACTAATGTTTATGAAGTGCCCTCAGGTGTAGCCTGCTGACCACTACTGCTTACAGGATGAGAGAAGTGGGGAGAGAATTGACAGGCCAGCTGCAAAGGACAGGGGTTTTTTTAGGTTTTGAATGAACGCATTCTAGCAAGACCAAAAAATTCAGAATTATTCAATTCTTTTTGGTTGGCAAAAAGGGGCTGGCTTTATTGTAAAGACTCAAAATACTTGAGACCTCTTTTTGGAAAGCTATGCCATTAGCCTGGGAGCCTTTTTGCTTCCAGATGCAGAATGGAGCAGCTGGGAACTTTGTGTGAAAATGGAAAGGAAGGCAAGGATCTCTTCTGAACTTCAGCAGATAATCTGGTTAAGTGTTGGCAGAAATTCCAGGTCTCTAATTGTGTTTTGTCTTCTGCTTCTCGTGTTGTCTGCTTATTGCAGATTTCATGCCCTCACCTGTTATGAGGAGCCACTTCACAGTGCACTGATAAGCCAGAGAGTCCGTCAGTGGCTGCAAACCTTCTACTGCTGTGAAAAAGCTACATGTGGCAATTAGCTTTGATTTAGCTTGCATACTTTCTCTGCCAAATTCACTGATTTTCATTAAGAATGGGGCCTCCCACACACTTGCAACTGATGTAGTTCAGCATACAATGCAAGCTTGTTTGCATGCTCTTTTCCAGCAAAAGGGGCAAACACAGCTCTTACCTTTAAAAAGGGAGAGGAGAGGAACTAGGCAGCTGGAGGTATCGCTTCTAACTTGAAGTGATAATACATCAAATTATCAAACAATTGAGTTACAGGAAACATCTTATGTGGATTTTATGAAGACAAATCATAAACCAGTCTAATTTCTAGCTTTGTCAAAGTAGTTTTGCCTGTCAGATAAGTGGAAACAAGAGACCATGACTTACAGGTCTTTATGAAATTCAAAGAGAAGTTTTCAGTGGCCCATTTTCAAACAGATTTTTGGAGGGAAGGATGTCTTGTTACTCTGTTCCATTTGAGTAGTAAGAGCTTGGCTGAAGGACTAAAGAACGTATGTGTAAAATTTACGCATGATACTGCACTGGGAAGGGTTGCAAGACTCTGGGGATAAAACTACCTTTCAGAAATATCTCAGTGCCCTGGAGAAAAGATCTGAAATCAAAAAGGTGAAATACAATAGAGGCAGAAGCGAAGTACTGTTTTAAAAAGGAGAAACCAAATCTTCAAATGTACCTAAGGGAGAATAGCTAAGTAGTTTGTGGAAAAGATATCTGGAGATTTACAGTGTGCCATAAACACAGTATTGATGTGTCTGTGCTCTTCTTTTAGTCTAACATACTAAAGAGGGAGACTCTTTATAGGATACAAAGTAATAATTTGCTCCAGTTAGTGCTGGCAGTGCCTCTGTAATGCTCTTAGGTATTGATACACTGGAGAAGAGAGGAGACTGAGAAGTTTGTGAAGATTTTGAAATGGCAGGACAGGCTTAAGGTGGCTTAAGTCTAGAAAAGGAGAGTGACAGTGTTCAGTTATGTAAAATAGAGGATTATTTTCCTTGCCTATGGCAGGCAGGGTACCTAATATGCTGAATTTCACATTGAAAATCTTGCAAACTGTAACTGTAGTAGTACTGGACCAGCCAGTGAGGCAATTTGTGGGACTTTGAAGGGCATCTTGAAGAGGTGAGATTCACGCTTGTCAAAACTGGGATGAAGGATCTCTACAGCCTTAATGTATGTGGGGCTGTGTCTTACCTCCAGGCACCCCTTAGGCCATACCAGCAGCCCCTGGCTTTTCGTAGAATCATAGAATCATAGATTTGCTAGATTGTGTCCAGGTCTGGGAAGGAAATATCTGTCAAGCTGCTCTGAGTAGAGACAGTCTTGGGTCCTGGGTCAACACAGGCTGTGCGGGGGTCTGGCCCCTAGTCTGGAGGAAAAAAAGCGATGGACATAGTAGGAACATGTGAGCTCCTTTCTGATCTGGTATTTAATCAAGGATGCTGTATGTGGAGATAGAATATAATATTGCAGCTAGAAGGGACCTACAATGATCATTTAATCCAACTGCCTGACCACTTCAAGGCTGACTAAAAGTTAAAGCAAATTATTAAGGGCATTGTCCAAATGCCTCTCAACCACTGACGGACATAGGGTATTGACCACTTCTCCAGCATCGAGTCTGAACCTCCCCTGGCACAGCTGTGAGCCATTCCCATGGATCGTATCACTGGTTACCAGGGAGCAGAGCTCAGCAGTTCCCTCTCCATGTCGCCTGCTCAGGGAGCAGCAGAGAGCAATGAGGTTGCCTCTCAGCCTCCTTTTCTCTAAACTAGACAAGCCCAAAGTCCTTGGCCACTCCTCACAAGACATGCCTTGCAGCCCTTTCACCAGTTTTGTTGCCCTCTTCTGGACACATTCCAGATCCTTAACATCCTTCTTCAGTTGTGGGGCCCAGAACTGCACACAGTACTCAAGGTGAGGACGAACCAAGGCTAAATACAGTGAGATAATCACCTCTTGATGAGCTTACGCTCTGTGTGTGACGCACCCCGGGATGGGGTTTGTGCTCTTGGTTGCCAGAACACACCTTCGACTTGTATTGAGCCTGCTGTCAACCACATGGCAGTACTGGGGGAGAGTACAAGTCTAAGTTTGTATATATGCCTCATACATGTTGAATTAGGTTGGTCAGGAATGTATAACCATCCTCAGAGCCTTAAGCAGAATAAAATCTAGAATCTGTAAAAAAATATTGCTGATAAGTTGGATGAGCGTCATTCTTGTTAATGAACAAGCATTGAAGTGTTCTTTGCTGGTTAGGATGTTCTTTGCTACACATTGCCATCTGCCTTGAAATCCAAGATTTCACACTTCAGAACTTCTGTCAGTAGCTGAATTAGCTGAGATTTTCTGGCCAGACTTCAGTGCATGTCCACTGTTTTTTGCCTATCCAGACAAACTTTTTTTTTTCTAAACCCACCTGCACCAACAGCTGTTGTGCTTCACCTCAGAAGCAATCCTGTTTTAATGAGCAGTAGAGTTACTTCTTTGTGTAGAAATTCTTCAAGTGTAGTTTGGAATATATTTTGGTATCCTTCAAGGTTAAAGGCACACATTTTGAGTATGTCTATCATTAAAAAAAAATTAAATGCACAGATCAGTGTAGATATTATTGGTGAATTTTCCAAGAGGCACTGCATAGAAATGTTAGATGAATTACTATCTTTATCTACTAAGCCTTTTTTGTTTTGCTGTAGCACTGGTGTGCCCTGAGCCTTCATCACTGCAAGATGAAATCCTCAGTTGCACAGCAGAAGAGCAATAACATCCTGAAGGTCTCTTCCAACCAAAACTGTTCTATGGTTCTGTGATTCTATGAACAGATCTGCCCATCCACATGCACACCCAGAAGAGGCATTTAGTGTTTCATAGCTGCAGTGATGTCCTTCAGAGGTGTAATTTTTCACGTAGTGAAGGTTAGGACTATAATGAGATGCTTGGAAAGAAGTAATCCCAGTGAAATACATTGAGCTGTGTGATTTGTTCTGCATTTGCTTGTAGGATCTCCCTAGCAACTCTGCTGTGCAGGGTGAAAAAAATCTTCCCCTGTTCAGTCGAATTCTTAACTGCAGTTGGTGTTTTGCAGATACCGAGTTGCATCCTTCATGAGGCGCCACCGAAACTAGCTGTTGACAAAGCCAAGTGGCTTCAAGAGATTTCCTGAGCCACAAGGATGACCTGTGACTGTGAGCCACAAGAACCTGACTCACTCTTCCAGAGGTGTTTCCTGGCTATTACAGCTGCCGATAACCAGAAGCCCATGTGAAGCTGTGCCAGGATATGTATTTCTGTATTTCTGTGGTTACTGTACTGAAAAACAGTATATTTTGATGTGTGCATACCAGCCACTGCTGCTACTCATTTTTGTGCAAAGTGTTGTCTTTACCCCGTGCAATTCCAATAAGAACACACCATGTTGACCAAGCTTTATTTTAGGCTTTCCCTGTGTGCTGTCTTAATGTGGTGTCTTCACATCATGAATAAGGTTGTCTTTAGCCAACTGTGATTGTTCAGTGCACAAACATCTGTGAATGCAGTACCTCAATAAAATCTGGCATTTGTTTGTCTTGTATTTTTCTTAATTTATTGTTTTCCCCACACCTTTGTTTCCTCAGAAGATTCTCATGGATCTTAGTAATTTTGATGGGAGAATTTTCCAACAGAAAAGTTAAGTTAGTAAGAAGTGAGGTTTTTGTAGGGAACTTTTGATTTCAATAGCTGTTTTTGTAGGAAACTGCAAACACTGAAATTAACTGAAATAAACATCCACAAATGTTTTGGAGATTCTGTGCCAAAGTATGTTAGGATATTTATTTTGAAGCAAACTTAAAAAATTTTCCAGTAGCGTTCCAGTTTGGAGCACTAATTTGTAAAGCTTTGAACTTCCTTCAGGTAATCAAAGAGCTCTAATTGCACATTTTCTTTCCCCAGAAGTCTTAGGAACAACCAACGTAGTCCTAACTGTCATATTTGAGCTTTCAAGTGTTTCAAGCTTTCAGCCTCTAGTCGTGAACATCAATGATAATGCTTTCTTGTGAGGGTCCTTTATGATCAGTGATCAAAAGAATTTCTAAAATATTTAACCATATTGTGTATGTGAAGGCAGCAGACAGATTATATTTTCAATTTGCAGGTGTAGCCTAAAATATTTACCTACCATGTCAGTTTTGTTTCTGATTATGCTTCAACTTTTTAGTTCCAGGTCATTGTCTGCTTCTTGGGAGTGATGTCTTTGTGTGTAATAATGCTTGAAATTTAGAATTATCCACAGCTGGCTGGTATTATATCACTAGGGGGCCGGTTGGCTCAGTAGGGCGCCGGTTAGCTCAGTCAGTAGAGCGTGGCGCTAACAACGTTAAGTTCGGGAGTTCGATTCCCGTGCAGTCCCCATGTGTTGCCTGATCTAGTCGACAGGTGGTGTCCCTGGCGGCAGGGAGGCTGGATTAAAATGATCTCTAAGGTCCCTTCCAGCTTAGGCCATTCTGTGATTCTATGATTATGCATCAAAAAAACCCCAAATGTTTCCAGTGTAAGATACACTTAAGTCACATATTGCATTGTATGAAATAATATACTTATGCCTCCAAAAGAAATAGAGAATGTTGTACATGTTCTTTCTAGAACTATTTGCATCCACTATGTCATTAAACTGGCATTTGCTGCTGTGGACTTCTAGAAGGTTAAAACTACATTCGATAACAAAAATATTTTTTTATAACAATGGAACATAAACCTGATCTCCCAGCCTCATAAATTTTTTTGATTGAGACTGTCAGAGAACAGAAGGGAAATAGATTTATGATTTTTGCCATCTGGTTTCCTTTGGGGATCCCAGCCCTGAGATACACCTTCTGGAAGCGAATGCTTTTTTTCAAACCACTAATAAAAGACTTCTAGAACATGATAAAAAAGAGGATTTAAGTTATTTCAATTTCATACAAACTTGAACCAGCGCTTTTGTAACGTTAACATTTTAAGGTGTTGAAGATATGTTCTAGAATAGACTCTTTTGAATGTTGCACATCAAAATAGCTTTGGTTTGGGGTTTTTTTGGGCAATTTCTAAATACAGGATTTCTCAAGTGACAAGATTATTTTTTCCCTTGGATGTTGGGCTTTTTCTTCATTTTGAGTATCTTAAGATACCAAAGTAACAGAAGAAAAGTAAAAACCAGAATGCAAAAAAAAATTGCTTCCAGTTCTTTCCTGAAGTCCAGTGCCTGTTTACGTTTTCTGGTTCAGAAAATTCTTTTTTTGTTTTTCCCTTTTAGCTAGTTATTTTGTAACACGGAGTTTCTAAATGTCCCTGCAAAAGGACCTCCCACGCTGGATTGATTGGGGTATTCAATCTGCTGCCCGTGACAGCTCTCAGTCATACTGTGTGGTCACAAGAAGGGTGCCTCCCTGTGCTTAATAGACATAATAGGGCTTAATGCACTTATTAGGCATAGCCCTAATTTTTGCCCTGGGAACGTTTTAACCTTAAGTGGTTTAAATGACTGTAGTAAAGCAAAGTCAGGGCTCTTCTGCTTCCATCGGCTATACAGAAGCTAAGAAAACTCCCAGGAGTTACTCTGTGTGTTTTTTCTTGTTTTTCAAAGCTGAGGATTTTTTGTAATTAAGTACTTAATGACTTTCATAATTAATCACCTTATTTAAGCATGATTCCTGAAATCTTTGGCCTTTGCAATTTCTAAATTGTGGAAGAAAGACCAAAGAAAGTCACAGTTTTAGCAAATGAAAACAATGTCTGTTTTAATTGTTTTCCTCAAATGTCAAATGCTAGAGATCCATTGTTCCATCCTTTGAGTTTTGGAAGAAATGAGGCAGGAAGAGCATAAAGATTCAGCTACTTCCTAGGAATACAAATGAGAAGCTTTTAAGTTTTCATCTGTTAGCCCGAAGCTTATAGAAATTCTTTCTCTCTTAATTTGAAGTAAGAAATTTAAAATTTTGTCAAATAGATTAGATCTAATTATAGTTGTAAGGTTAGAGGAGTGGTAGGTATCTATGGAAGATCTACTTGTTCTTTTCTTAGCCGTTTGCTTAGAAAGTTAAAAAATATGAGAAGACTTCATATTTTAGCACATATTGAATAGTTGCATAAAGATCCATTAATATATTGCATCTGACGTAGAGGATGAGAGAATTCTGCAATGGACACGTTTTGGGAAAGTCAGTTCCAAGCCATATGAAGCTATTTCTGGTTCACGAGAGAGTTCTCTGCCACACTGAGCAATTTTTTTAAAAAAAAGAAAACCTGAGCTGAACAACCAGCAACGTTAGGATCTGAGTTCCCAACCACCATTTATTTCTGGAGTGGATTTTTGGGAGCAGGGTGTTGGTTTCTAGTGGTCAACAGGATTATTGCACTTGGCTTCCCTTTTCTGTCATTCTGTTGTTCCCTAGTGACTATGCAAGTGTGCTCCACAGGTAGAGATAATTGGTTTATATATGTGTGTGTCTTTACAGCACATTTGTATAAAATGCCTTTGTATGGGAAGAATCTCTCAGGTATCTCTGAAACCTTAAGTCTGACTAATATACTAAAATATAAATTTTAGGTGTGTTATACACCTGCTGTGTAAGAACATCTTTTTAGTCTTCATTATTCCTGTGCTTTTTCCAATCCACATCCTTTGGAAAAAAACTGTTGAAGTTCCTTTCTTTATATATAGAAGAGTACATTTTCATGGCAACAGCGACGCAAAGCATTAGAAAAACTGTTGAAGAGCCTTGCTTTATATATATAGAAGAGTACGTTCTGATGTCAACGGCAACACAAAGTGTTGAAATTGATTAGTGGAAACAGTGTAAGTATAAAGAGCTGCATGTAAGCGCCTTTATTTGTAGCTGATGTTTCAGGATAGTCTAGCTGAAGAGTATTTTGTGAAACCACAGCTTCCCTTTCCCCCTTGTTAAAAAGAAGCTGGTGGAGACAGGGTGTAAAAGACTGTGATTTTTTTTTCTCTGCTCAACCAGCTGTGCTGACTGTTATACCAGCTGGGCCAAGCAGTCTTACCGAGAGGTTTTGGGAGAAAATGGGTCGTTCAGGCTTTTGTTGGCTGCGGATGGACTTCTGCACAGAGGCATGGAAGTGTTGACAGGACGGCAACACTATCCTGGAAAAATCTGTATCAATTCCAAAAAGGCATGCAGGAGCAAGACCCAGGATTTGCCCCCAGTGTTAGAGGGAGGTGGTAGGGGAGAGTGAGCAGGTGTCTGATGAATTTTTTTTTATTGTCATTTCTCGTGTTTACTATGATAATCTGGATTCCACAGATGACACCTTGCAATGATGTGGTCCTTTGCCATTATCTCTGCTTCTGTGTTCTCCCCCTTTCATACAGTGTGTAGTAGATGGAAACCCTTCAGAAATTCAGGACTAAAATGGCTCTGGAGATGGCTTTCAACTAGCCATGGGATAGGACTCCATCTGGGAAATGAGAAGAACTTTGTGGAAAGCAGGGCTGAGGTCAGAATCGTCCCTGAGCAAAGTTCTGACTTAATCCAGGGAGGAGAGGGAGATGTTCCTCTTGTTCCTGGTGAACGATTACTTGGTTCTGCAAACAAATGTAAGGTAAGTACGTTTCCCGTAATGAATGCACTGCAAAATTGAATCAGTATTTTTTCCTAAATGCATCAACCACAGAAATTTCAGTAAATTGGGTCTGCTCTCTTCACAATGCTGAATCAAAATGTCAAACCAGCACAACTCAATTATAGGGAAGGAAATAAAGCAACATGCTGAATACCAGCAAGTTTTTTATTAAACACTTCAAATCGCCAGTGCTATGACTGCCTATGGATGATGGGAACAGACGAGCGTGGATTGAGCTGTAGGAAAATGGACTCAGAGCACCTTCTTTACAACGTTTCAAAATTCAAATTTTCACGCCATCTGTGGTTTATAGACTGGTTGCACCCTTCAGTCTGTTACTTGTTTTACTAAAGAGATTTTTTTAGGTGCATAGAAGTGAGGAGAGGGAAAGAATCAGAATTCATGCATTTTGATTTTTAAAAAGGTAAAGGAACTTTTTGTTTTTTTCAATGCAATATTGGCTTGCATTTTGCTGTTCTTGTAAAAGATCAGTCACCCCAAAATCCTTTCTATAGAGGAGACAGTATTGCACCTGAATAATTTTTCTTTGCATTTTTAAGCAGAGATAAGTACCATACTCCTTATTTTTATGATGCTGAGAGATAAGGTGCAGTGACTTTAATGTCACATGAGGTTCTATCTGAGTGCTTCGTATTGAATAAAAAG